CCCTGCCCGCCCACTACTGCCTTTCTTTTCACAGCTTCAAAGGGGCCCAGGTTCATGAGCGAACCATCAAGCGTGAAGGAACCTTGGACTTGAGCGTAACCCATCATCAGTGATTCTGGAGCCCTCGCCATGCTGATGCCAGACATGGCCGAGCTTCGGCGCAGGTGTGCGGGTCGCCGGGTGTTCTGGAAGGGGTTGGAGACGTATTCGGACGCTAACGTCTCCGACGAGTTATTGCTTATCGAGTAAAACTCGCCGCTGCTCCGGGGCGTACCCCCCGCTATACTTGTCGTGGAGAGAATCCGGGCAATCGGTGCGACATGCTCGGAGATAGTGGGTATCGGTTCCTTGGATCGAACGGGTAAAGGAGCGTTCGGCGAAGTTTCTGCCGTCGGTGTTGTAGAAGGATCATCTCCAACCTGATCAGGCGAATCACCTGGGCCGCCATAGGAAGGGGCTGGAGCCATGGGAAACTTGAAGTCCGTCATTGGACCAGAAGCTTTCCTCCCTGTGGGGGACATGGTAAAGCCCGGGGTATTGGGTGCGGTCGCAACGCCGGGAGTCCGAGCAAACCTTTGTTGTGATGGCGGGAAGGAATGGTTGTTAAACACCGGTGACCCGTCCGGACCCAAGGGTGAGCGACGTGGTAGTGGTAATGCTGCCGACTGAGGGCCATTCGAAATGCCATTACGTGGTATTATCTGGAGGCTGGCAGATCGGCCATGACCGCGGCCAGGACGTTGGCTCTTCATCGGGCCGCTCCCACTACTGCCGTAGGCCTGCTCGTCTACAGCGGCACTGGAGCCGATCGAGACAATAGAAAGAGACCTCTTATGGGCATGGCGTGGTTTCTGTGGGAGTATGGGCAGCTGAGGAGGGGGCCATTGCTGGGTATTGGCCATAAGCCGCGCGCTTGTAGAGGGGACATTGAGTGACAAGGTCGAGCGGTGGCCGCGAGCCGAAGTAGGGGGCGTCAAGCCGTTGATCGGAGTCCCGCGAGCGTTCACAAGAGGCGAAGGTTGTCTCGTTCGGTCGGTACGGGAGGACGGTTGCGCAGCTTGACGCTGGTCCGGGGACGAGGCCGGGTTCGAGACCACCTGGCCAGGTCCAAGGGCAACATTTTTGAAAGTAATCCGACACCTCAGTTCTTCTCCAGCGAACGCAGTCTGATCATCCCATTTTACATAGACGCGGATATTGCTTGGCCGTCCGTCGGGCGGCATGGTGGCACTCCTTCAGGGAAAGGAGAAGACTCATAAATGCGACCTCATCATCGTCAATAATGGTGTTTCGGAGGGACGGGACGTGATGCGCCCACCGTGATGACAGGCGCAAAATAGACGCGGAACTAGAGATATATAGGAGAACAACAGGACGTCTGACCGATGCTCGAATCGGGCTTGAGAGTTGAGCAGTTTGGTTTGAGTTGCCGGGCTGTCGCTTCGAATCTTGGATGACTAAGTAGACTACACAGTAGCCCAACCTAGTGTTTCTCGTCACTTTGGAAATCACGGCAATACAGCAAGCACGAGGTTTAAAAGTGAAGAGGTGAAGCTTCGTCAATTTTGAACGCACTGGAGAAACGATACAGACTTCCGGAGTGAGTATGACGGGCTTTGTTGTAACCTAGTAGACAATTGATGTCTGTCAACTTGACAGGGGAGCTGTACAGCAGTACAGCATACAGCATATGCTTGTCTTGGGAAGGAGTTGTAGGCTGCTGTACCTTGATACCCTATTACCTAACCTAATCTGGTTACTAGCCTCGCCATTAATAGTAACCTACTGCTGTACTGCTGTGCAGCATACCTCTGCTGTACACAGTACTTGTGCAATTGGAAGTTAGGTACCTTATTATCGACAGAAGGAAATCCTACAAGTAAACAACAACATCAATGTGGTCGAACCATCTCATGCAATGAATGCCCTGCATTGAACTCTGTTTATTCTTTCAAGAACTTCCCTAAAGATATCATGTACCTATTAACTGATTTTGTCATCCGCCTCTTGTTACACAACATGCTATCTCTCATGTCTGTCCCTTGTTACCTTCAGCCTCTCAATCCTCTTGGCTGGAACGGGAACGAACTACCAAGGTATTGAAAAATGAAGATTAGTGTGGTTTAAAAAAATAATACATAAGAACTCGAACCTGATATGTCTGGCGATGCTCAAACCATCAAAGACAGCTGGGCAAGAGGGAAGAGAGGCCGGGCAATGTCTCCTGGATTCACTCACTCACACGACGTTCTGGTCGTGATACGATCTAGACACTCCTCCACACCCGCCACAAGGGACATCCTTCCCGTACGTGCACTTGTTGCAGCTGCTACAGTGCCAGTCTTGGCCCTCTGCACAGCGGCCGCAATCTCTGCAGTGCCAGATTTGGTGGCCTTGCTGCCAGCTACCGATCCGCCCACTACCTGGATAGCAGAAGGAGAAGAACCACCGGCCGGAGTCGCCACCGAAGCCAAGCCCTATACGGAGAAGTTCTCGTTCGAGCCCCTCGGTGATTGCTATCGGGTCCGGGCCACTGCATGTCGTCCCCCACTTCACCCGCCAGGCATCGATTGCTTCGTCATTGCCGTCGGGTACGTAGTCTAAACCCGACAGGAGATGCTCAAACAGGTAGTCGAGTGTGATCTCCTCCTCCTCCAGCTTGTGGTTCTGCAAGTAAGAGATGAAGCAAGGGTGAAGCTTGGCCGGTGGTGCGGAAAGGTCAGTGCCGATGATATTGTCAAGCACCACCTTGTCAAGTGCAACATTGTTGAAATTGTTCTTGCATGTCTCGTCGCAGCCACAAGATGCGAGGCATCCATAGCCTTGACTGCTGCAAGCACAGTTCTTGCATAGGTGGATGCCAGAGTCCTCTCCGTGTTCACACCGGCAGCCCTTCGCCGACGTCATGGGCTCTGTCGTCTTCTGTCATCTCCACGGTCAGTCTGGCTGTTTTATGGCGAAGAGAGAAAGGCGGCAAGTTTACCTCTGTCACCGGCGCGTCGGGCCTATACCCGGGGATCTGAGGGAACTCCCGGCTGTCTTCGAATTCGTCGACATCTTCGTCGAGATCGTCCTCGGGGTCCACTCTGACTTCAGGTGTCGTCTCGGAGCCGAAAACACGCTCCTCGGCACTGCTGGCCACGCTGCGCGTCTCGGCCATGTCGAGACTCTTATTCGGTGCAAAGGCCCATTCTTGTTCCCAGCGGAGGAACTGAGGTGTCTCGTTGAATAGCCACGAGTCGTACCAGCGACCAACGGGCGGTCTGTAGCGGAACTCTTCGAAGAACTTCTGACCCAGCTCCTCGGTGAGCCGCTCCAGTGTCGTCCGCATATCGCGAACAAGACGCATCCGCTCCGCCTTATCATGAGGCGACATGGGGCTCTTCTTACAGGCGTCCACCTGTTTCATGAATCCGCATGACATGTTGCCCTGGATGTCGCATACTATCGACTCGGAAATGAACTTGATCATCTGCTCATGGGCAGCGGGGTCGTCCGCGGGCACGGCACTCCAGCTCACAGGCCGGGGAGCTGGGCCCCCATCAGGGTGTAGTCGTCTCATTGTGGTGACTCCAGTCCTCTCCATGCTACTCGCAATCTGTGGGTGAATATCACACGAAGACAATGACTTCCACTTTATACCATTAAGCTTTGTGGCTGCAGAGAAAACACACGTCGGTCCGAGGACGGCGTAGTATGAAACGCACAGGGGTCGAAGCACTCAGTTCCGCACATGTCTGTCATGCCCAGCAGAGCCTTGTTCCCTCGGGTCTAGTTATAACAATAGCATATTTCTCCCATCCGACCTGATGGAATAGCTATTTGTCAAACTGGCTGCTATGATTAGTACTAACCAACCCCTGAGCGATCCTTTGCCGGGGTTGAGCTTCCAGAAACAGTCAGCAAAGGAGGGCTACTTCAGCTTGGCACCAACCATCAGCTGGGCACATTGAAACATCGCTTTACGATACCAAGCAAAAAACATCGTCAATGTAAAGAAGGATATTCGCAGTAATAATACTGGATAGTCAACCAGAACCTGGCATATACCCCGGCCTGTTTTTTCTATTTTTTTCAATGATATGGGTTTCCTTGGTTATTGTCGTACCTGCCCATCAACGGCCTCTTGTTAGCAAACGCGAACTCAGCCGCTTTTCCCAGGGCTGCTTGCTTGCATAAGAAGAGAACATGACAGGGCTTTAGCTTCTTAGAAATTTTCAAGGGTCACACTCAGCTGACAAGGCGAGCTTCGTCAAGAATATTGAAATTGGTGTCTGGCTGTCTGCTGATCTGCTGATCGCGTTGATGGTCATTGGGAGAAGCGGATGATTTATATTCTCGAAACATCAAACGGGGGAAAACGCAGCAAGCACAAAATTATTGCCTCCATGCATAGAATAAGAGAGTCCTGCTCGAATCCAGAGAAGCGCAACAAGTAAGGTTAATCGCCTATAAGGCAGCAAATCCCTTGTAGTTAGCTAAAAAATGATTTTTCCTGTATTCTCAGGTAGCTGCTGTATCGAGGGAAATTTTCGCGATGGGGTTTTTCTCTTTTTTTTTTCCCTCGTCAAATTTAAGTAGGAGTACAGCAGTACCTGAAGTGGCTAAGTTGCATACCTACATACATACTAACCTACTGAGGTTTACAAATCTTTATTTACAAGCAATCAATTAACTACCTACCTACCTACCTACGTATGGTAATTTGAAAAGCCCCTATCATACTCGCCTCTTTTAGCATTATAGGAATCGAGATGCTAACCGAATGCCAATGATGATTTTTTGCATCACTGCATTCCAACTCTTGACTTGGCCGGCTTCTGATAGGGGCGTCTACACAGCATACAGCACAGCTGCAGACTGGATTAACCTTAGAAAAACAAGACTGGAAATCTAAAAGAAAATAAAACAAGGCCATTATTAGCTCCCACTCGACACTACTAGATACTGTACTCCGTACAAGGGCAGTTATTACAAGCAAACAAATCCATCAATTAGCCGCCCGGTTAGCTCAATCGGTAGAGCGTGAGACTCTTAATCTCAAGGTTGCGGGTATGTAAAAAAAACCCTTCAATTGAAAGTCAAATGACTCGATAGATATGCTAACAAAGTCCTGAATAGGTTCGACCCCCGCATTGGGCTCAATTCCTGATGCTTCTCAGATATACTGGGAAACGCAACCACGTTTTTTTTTGACTTCTATTTTCTCTTCCTTTCCTTGATTTTTTTTTTTAACCAAGAAATGGGCAATGAGCAAGATAAATAAATATGTGTTTTGAGGAGGCCCCAGCAACACTCTTTGCGTTGAAATATTTGGCTTAGGCTTGTTCTTTCGGGTGGTGGGGAGCAACAGACACAGGAGATTTGACAAAGGTTGGGTGTAGATAATACCATCATGTCTAGGTTAGTTTACTCCTTCCCTTCCTGTCTTTTCTGAGCATCAGGATGGGTTTAGGCGAGAAGTACATAATTTTATCATCAAGCTGTTTGAAATACCGGTACACAGTATAGTGTCAAGGTCTGAGAAGGTTTATCATACCTTGTAGGCAAGGGGGGCAGGAAGAGAAAACTAAGTCTTTTACCAAAACGAATAAATTGCCACTTGTGAAGTGAGGCGATTGTAATGAACCGTATATGTATCCCACGCGCCTATGACGAGATATGCTGGAGAACTTGGATGGAGTATGAACAAGACCACAACTGCGCTGATAGGAGAATAAACAGTATATATAACCCAAGATCACGCGTAAGCTATTGGGCAGGCAGGCGAAACGAACACGCCATGACCTTGCGATTGGAATTTCGCCCATTTGTTGTGATACTGGCCGTGCGTTAACACGCCCTGTCTGTTAGGTCGCATCATACCAACTAACGGTTGGATTGTGGCGAGAGTCATGAACCCAGCCTTTGTTGGGTTCGACGTAGAGATGGGCATCACCGTCGCTTTCCACAGGTGTTGCATAAATAGTCTGTGAGCTGGTAGCTAGGCCAAGTTCCTGGCGTGAATTGTATGGTCTAAATTTCGGGGCCGGATAGGGCTGTCTGACGGGCTCGGGGCTCTTCACGCCCTCCTGCGCCTCTAATGACACGCTGTCAACGAAGGTCGATGATTTCCACACCTGTTCATCTGCTGGCTGTTCGCTTCTGAACAAGGCCCTTCTATGGTCATATGTCGGTCTAGTCCAGAGGTGCGATGGCAGGGAAGGCCATGTTATCTTCTTCCCCCGGTTAAAAACCGCTGGGATTGCTGGAAGACAGAAAACGACAAAGGCAATGGCTAGTTCAGCCATGCCCCAAAGAAGGACCGCTGATATATTATATATGACGTCCTCCCCGGCATAAACCTTGACAGCTTTAGCTAGTCGCACTGCGGCTGTCAAACAGGCACTAAACGTTGGTCAGTGTCATAGTCTGCATGTCGAGGTAGGCAAGGCGGTGTTCATACATTATCCCGATTGTGAAAACCAAGGAGACGCCGACCTTCTTCTTTCTCGACATTTGGAGACTCCATATGACCTGGTGTGGGAGGGCAAGAATTATGATGTCTGAAACGACGTTCAACGTGGCGTTGGTGATAAAAAATGCTGACGTGTTAAGACATCGGCCAGGGAGACTTATGTTCCATATTTTCTCGTGCGGTGTGCACGTCAGGGCAGATGCCACAACCCCCACAGTGCAATATCCTATATTCAGCACCATGGTAATGCGGCACGTCCAGTAGAAGCCGTTCCTCCGACCCGGAGGCACGAACAAACGAGGCCACTCGAGGAGAATTGCCGTCTTCAAGAGCCCCATTGTGGCCTGGAAGAGTGAAGTGCTGACATAGACAATCTGCCCGGCGTTAATCCCTGAGGAGGCATTGAAGAGGCGATGAGGGCTCACATATAAAGCCGCAGGCAAGTTTGCCAGCGGAATATTCCACTGGTGGACATAAAACCCGGTGATATTCATAAGCATATACAGTCCGCATATGAAAGCAATGAATGGGCCCTATTCACAGAATGAGCAAAGGTTCTCGCTTCTCCGTCAAGACTTCTCTCGTGTTCCTAATCGTCTCACCAGAGCTGCAAGTGCCACAACTAATTGAGTTCTATGAATCAGCACCATGACGACAAGAAGTGTCTAATTCACAAGGTCGGGGCAGCTCACAATCTTCAATCTTCACCTTCTTGATGCAAAACACCCTCGAATATGCGCGGAGGGAAACACCTAAGGCGACCACGAGCAAGCTTATGGCCAGTCCGACATGAGCCTGAACGTTGCCGTTGGGGGGGTTGAGCAAATTCGGAACAACCCCGGGAGGTGGGCTAAAAGCCGGTTGGTTCTGCTCCATCAGTTGATGTTGAGCAGTGACTACCGGTGTCGGTATGCCGTATTGTCATAATCGGCGTCTCAAGGTAGGCATATATAAAGCGGTGCAGTTAAGGGATAGATTGAACCACTGCGATCCTCGCACAGGGAGAAGATGGAGAACGTAAAGTCGGGTTCCATCCACGCCTGCGCAACCCGTAAGCAAGCATTAGGGATCATACCGTCCTGCTCGACAGCAGCACTCTTATGCTACCTTACTTGTTCTTGCTGCCTGGCATAAACTTGGATCAGTTTAGTGATCTGCCCTCAGCCTACCTTCCGCAGGATCGAAGGGTGGCATTCTGGGTGCAGCAGCTCTGCACCATTCCTACTCTGCCCGTGGCGATGTAGTAACCTTAGGTAGGAGGTAGGTAGGTCGGCAGGGAAGGAGCAGAATGACTGCTGGCTCACGCCAACTGCAGTGTAACATCGAACCCAACCCCTCAACTCCAACTTTCACTGTTGCTCCAGATGTCGCCCTTGCTTGATTCGTTGCTTTTATTAGGACCACGGTTCCGAGTCAATTTTCGCACAATCATCTTTTTCGCCCCTGCCTCAGCTTGGGGGCTATATTGGGCGAGGAGTGGCAAAACTTCTGGACAGGGCCGTACGACGGCTTAGCAGAGACAGTCCATCTGAGGAGATATTGATATTTTTTCTCTCTTGGTTCTCTGTGGTTCCCGTCCTGCAAACAGCACGAAAAGGATAATAGTAAAAGTAGACAAGATGCCTACGTCTAGCATGTCCCGTAAACCCCTTCGTACCATCGGATTGATGTTGCTAGAGTTCGGTTATCTGCCTGCCTAGCCGAAAATCTTCAGGAAACTCCAAATGCCTACGCCGCTGAGAACCGGTATGGTTAAGTTATCGTCCCATCCAAACAGATCTATGACCTCGCTTCCTGCCGCCACCAAACCTGACCATAGACTCATAATACCAAGCGCAGCAGCGCCGCCTAGTGTCGCTGGCTCCTCGAATCCAAGCGCTTTCGATATAGCAGCAGGCAGTCGCAATACGCCCTGAAACATGAAAGGGTGTTGGTCATCGCCCGGGAATGGACCCGTCCGGGGCGCCAGTGAGCCCCAGAACCAGGCAGCAGTGGCGACTCCCACAAGGAAGGCGGCCAAAGATCCAGCGAGAGACTTGCCACGGCGAATCCGGGGCGTGTATCTTCCGTATAGTCGGCCGAAAGTACTAGCAGCCGTATCGCACCAGCTCAGGAGCATGACAGCCACGACGGACACATCTTTAGGAAAGAAGCGGAGAACGATCCAGGCTCCCAGGAGGTAGAAAATAACGCCGTTCCAGCCTGCATATTCTGTCTCACGCATCAACGCACCCAGGTATTTTACATAAACGCGGTTCAAGGACGCGTATTTGTGGCGCAGGAAATCTGTCGTAGCGATGGGGATAAGAGCGGCCATCAGGTAGGGAGGCACGGACGATGTTTGAGTTCCGGTGACGTATAGATAGTAGACGAAGAAACCGATCGAGACATGTAAGACCTTCCTTGGAACCTCGTGTCTATGAATTAGGGTTTGGAAATGACGGTGGATCGGGATAAGGCCGAAAGGACTGGGGCTTCGGCTGAAGTCGCGCCAGTTCCAACCTGTCGCCGCGTTTGCTGCAAGAGAGGGAGGTGCTAAGAGGCCATCCGCCGATGTTGTCACGCCATTTGTGAAGGTCTTGGTATCGGCTGCCGTGGGCTGTGGTTGATCGGTACTAGAGGCCGGCCGCGGTTCGGTGGTGTGTTTGTCGTCAGCTTTATCCCTGGAGGGACCATCGACCTGGCGTGCTTTCCTCGGACTTCGCGATCGAGCTCGGGCTCTCCGGACCTCCGAATCCGACTCCTCATCTGGTTTCTCTAGGATAGGATGCCGAGGTAGAATATTGCCGGCCTGGCGGCGGCGGGCAGAAGATCGCGTGACGGGGCCCAGGTAGTCATCGCCTATGTTCTGCGAGCTCTCGTTCGAGTCGGAGGGCGTAGGGCTAGGCGAGATGATTCTCGGGGTCCTGGGGGTTCCCCGACTAGAACGATGGGACATTGCGAACGGATACGGCGGAAGGACCGGGACGGACACAGTGCCGGTAACTAGGTGCCGCAAGTCGTAGAATCGTACAGGCCAGTAAATGGAGTTCAGATAGCCATGGCTCCTCGAATCACGCGTGGCGTTCCAGAAAGGCTGTGCGAAGAGGTCAGAGAAGAGTCCTATCGAATCCAGATTGAACGATTATGACGATGCAGCAGAGGAAATCTCCGCTGCATTGTGCCCTTCCCGATGTCTGGTGGCGTCTTCTTGGGTATTTATACAGGTGTATAAGATGATGACGGGATAAAGCATCTGTGTCGCCAGTCTCGCCCTCGGTTCTGCCCTCGGATGAAGCAGCCTAACCTAGGTACAGCCTCGCTCGCGCCTCACTGGACAAGTTTTGTAACTGGATTGGGAGAGAATTCTGACATATGATCAGCCAACCCCGATTCAGACTAGTCTAAGACCGGATGCACTTGGCATCTCACCTACAACTTAGACAGTGCGGAGTACTGTAATACAGGGCAAAAAGGACTGTGTGACTACACAGTACTACAGTAGACTAGCTAAACCCGGCTTGGCACTGTGGCCAACGAAACAGGTGAGATCATGCCCCTCGACCCTTTGTCAGCTCCCGGCTGGCCTTACTGTGTTAACATACCTATCATTACACTTACGTCCAGCTTGTCGGCTCGAAGAGAGGCGGAAGTAGGTACTACAGAACTGCTACTCCAAGAAGAAGCCATTCTACACCTTTCGGAC